AATGAGAACGGTCGCAGACATGACGAAGACAGAGGGGACCTTGTCGAACCGGAGATTGACTATCGATTCCGTCGTTGCTTCTACTGGATTCTCTTCTCCTTCTAGCCGAACATTTATCGCCTCGCTCGGTCTTTCTCTCCGTGAAAAGTGTCGCCGAATCAACGGCGACGCTGCTAGACATCACTTCCCTGCCGATAACCTATCTCCGTGGTCCCCTTATCGGATACTCATTGTTTGGCGAACCGGGGCAGACGTCGCTCGTCGATTGTTTCCCTTCTACGTTTTCCGCACTTTCCAGGATTATTAATTCCCACGTCCGCCTGACTCTTTAAAAATCAATTTCCGAGTGAACCTCCTTTTCCTCGGTAACGCGAATTATTCAATTTTTTCCCCATTTTCCTGGAATGCCTTAATACGACGGGCCGCCATTGATTTTGAGGAAACTTGAAAAAGAACCAAGGAGATATTCACTGATATCGGTGAAAACGATTTCCTTCTTTCAGAACCGATTCCCTTTGATTTCATATGCTAACTAACAATGTAAATCGGTAATAAATGACGGTCGGTCTGAAAATTGCGGTAATGTTTCGGTGATTTCAACGTGACTTCGGGAATTAAAATCCATGATTTCCTGAGTGACAACCTTAAAATTGCGGTAATGTCTCGGTGATTTCAACGTGACTTCGAGAATTAAAATTCTTGATTTCCAGAGTGACAACCTCCTCGAAAAGAACATCTCTTTAGGAAAGTATAATTAACTAGCTGTCCCTCCCGGCTTCGTACGGGAGTAAAGAAAGCACTTCTAGTTTCTTCAACTACTTGTTTCACTGAAATTCTCATGCTCTTATCATGAATATCTATTATTCCAATGGTGCCCGGATTAGTTTTGTATTTTTTTAAATGATTTAATTAACATTTTTATTCGTCGATGAGTCCCCGTAACGATAGAGCAATGAATCGAAGTCTATAACCTTCGCAATATCATATGGAAAATATCCGCAAAATAGCGATAAAAATAATATAAACATTTGTCCCTACGCTGTACAAAATCTATGAGAAGAAACTTATTTTATACCGCCTATGTCAATTAAGGGATTCTCAAGATACGAAGTGAAGCCCCCTTCAAATCAGTCGATTCGAATACAACACTTTTTTTTAAGGGTATTAGACCAAACTGTCCGAAACTTTGACACATCACTCCTGATCATCTAAGAATTGTCCTGACACATTTAAAATTTGAATTTTTGGAGAAAATTGTTTAACTTCGCCCAGACCAGAATCAAAATGGCGTCGAGCTCTCATATTTTGATCAATATACAATTATCGAAGGCTCGGATATGAGAAACAAAAGGGTCAGGACAATTTTACGACAATTTAGAACACTCTGGTAATCGACAAACTCGCATTTGAACGGGATAAAGGCAAAGAAAGTGTTGTATCCGCTTCTATGCTAAAACGATGGGAATACGAGGTCTCGGAGTGAATATTTAATTGACCTGGAAATCACAGATGGTGCAGGAGGTCCCTCTGCAGCCAATTAGGGCCCCAGAAAGAATGAGTCCAGAGGATTTCTGGAGTTTTACTTCGATCTCGTTATAATTATTGTACGAAAACGACAGGTGGAGTATGCCATTTGGTACAATACCCAATATAATTCGACATAGCTGTCAATATAAAAACGAACGTCGGCAACGTAGGCATTTAGAAAAATCTTTATCGACGTCGATCAAGTTCCTCGACGTGTTTCACTTCACCATAAAATGTTGAGTCGATTCTTTCTTGAAGATCTTAGGTCGCAAAGGAAAAAGTGACTCCTCTTTATACAATAGTATAAATACGTGTAGTATTTATAAACCCTTTCAGAATTGTAATTGATAATCTAATTATTTCATAGAAGTCTTGAAAGGCTTTTAGTCTTCTAAGGAATGTGATTGGCTTAGGACCACCGTTTCCAGAATTTTTTTACTTTCAATAATCCCCTCATTACTCCAAAGCTGACGAGAAAGCTTCGGAATGTCGAACAGTCCACATAACCTATATCAGGCTTTTTTTTTATGTATTGCACAATAAGTCGCTTGCCTTGCTATCTTACCCCCTTTGGTACCCTTTCTTATTCGATGTCCCCTCTCTTTTTAGTCCTGTCACTTCATATCTACGGATCCGATAGCAAAGCGTTGAGAAAACCACACTTGGGTAAATTTGAATTTGCTCTTACCTTCTTGAGTCTTTGCTAATGTGAACATTCCGAATAGTGTTCCATTTAATTTAATTAAAGTCCTGAAAATGACAGTCAACGGTCGAAAAATCTTCCGAGAAAACAAATCCCACTTTTTTTGGGCCAAGGCCAATTCAATAAGCTTCATTTAGAAGGCACTGATAATTGATACATGACAATGCTTCTTTCTTCTCTCGGTTGATCGTCTTCATAATTAGGTACATCACGAAGAGGAGATATCTAATATAGGAGGGAAGAGAAGAAAAAATAACTCGATGGGCGACAAAGTGGGAGAAAAATTGTAAATTGTAAATTAACCAAGAGGGGAATTTTTGACAATTTTCCGACATTGACATAGACGAAGCAAAGCGAACGATGCGAGCGTACGGGATCTAGTACTCCAGGAAGATCCTGATCCGATCAGCTGACCTCGTATTTCAGGTTTCCCTTTCTTTCTCTCTCTCTCTCTCTTCTTTCGTCGTTCCTCTCGGTCCTACTCTCAGCCCTTCTCTCTCCCTCGCCCATTCCCTTCCATCAATCGAATAATGTTACGCAACCGCGGGAGAAATTAATTTCGTAAGCGCGTCTCGGGTACACGCTTAAATACAGAAAATGAAGAAATGTGAAGAATACCCACCGAAACGGTCGACGGAAAAATTCAAGCGACCCAAGCGAAGTGAAATATTAAAAAATGCACATCTCCGTATTAAATGGACCAATCGGTTTCGTTCATAGTTTAAAAAACGCAGAAAAATCGTCCACTCTCGATGGCCTTTTTAAAGTTGACTTTACTTATTCAAGAGGTTCAACAAACGACATTCATTGTCCAATTTGACACGCCAGGCTGAACATCGCAGATAATGACCAGGTCTGAGTTTCGCGTCTCTAAATATATATTTAACGCGAACTCTACCGAGTTTCTTAATTTCAAGGTAAAAGTACGAAAATATATTTATTACCGGCAAATCGGTGATTAGCGGCCAGTGAATTGATTTGGAATGTTAATAACAAACGTGTCGAAGGGGCTGATGAGGCTCTTGTCTGTCGAAATCCCGATGATTGCACGAGGTTTAATTAATGATGCGCAGCCTCCTCCGAATTCAGACAGGTGTGAGAATCCAGGTAAATATCGAGGAGCAATAATTATCGAGACCTCGATACCTGCCGAACCGTCGTAATGATTATCTGAAATCGAATCGAGATCGTTATCGAGTATCGGGGATGTGTAGTTATTAAACCTTGACGATTGAAAATCATCGGCACGAGATTTCCACCGAGTGGAATCCGTTTCGTAACAAAAGGTACACCAATTAACCTTTTGGCCTAGATAATGAGTGCCACAAAGCATCTGCAATCACGACTGGGCAAGTTTTTCTATACGGAAATATCCCACCGTCGCACTTTTTTTTTTTTCACGCCATGTACGGTTATAAATTAATTGCAGGAAATGCAGGTATATATCAAAATGATATCTGATAACTTCCCGTACTACAGGTTTCGACCATTCGGGGAGCAAACAAGAGCGAGCGAGGAAGGTGAGGTCGTCTCTCTCCCTCTCGCAGGTGAATACGCGAGCATTAGTGCGTTAACGCCTGATAACGACTCGTAGGTACCGATATCTATCGACGAACCTGACAGTGACTCTCAATGGGATAAGTGGGCCTCTTAAGACGTCCGTGAAAATCATTGCGATTGCCTGTTAATAAATGTTTATTTGCAGTGGAGCATGAGCAGTCCGCATACATAATCGGTGGAGAAGAAGAAAAAAAACGTACGGCTTGTAACGTCATTCTACTTGACCGCTGCAACGGAAATGTAATTAGCTATTAAGGCGTTACGTAAACCGAGGTTAATTCGTACGTTTGAAAATAGTTTGTACGACTGCTAATTCCGCGTATTACTAAAGGCTTAAGGTATGTTTACATAAAAAAATCGAGGTGGTCTCATTTATTTTGCACCCTAGTTTGTCATTTTATCTCACGCGGTACATCAGAAAAGGTGTGCTCTTAACTATTTTTTTTTACCCCTTTTGACCCGGCTGTGCTTTTTGCTAACACTTTTCTGCAGTCGCGAATACAGCGTTACAGTATAGGTCAGTTATGACTAATGTTTACTACTGCCAAAGAGACGAAAAATTTGTCTAACGTTACGAATGTATGTAATATTTTTGTTAAAAAAAAAAGAACTCGCGCTGCCAGTACATATTCGTTATTAGGGACAACAGGGTACCGGAAGTATATTTGTATGCGTTTCTCGCATAATTTGAGGTTGCTTTTGGGAGAAAACGTCGGAAGAGCTTCGCGATAAGTGAAGAAAAAAATTCTGATTTTATGGAAGAACGGAAAACGCGGGGAAAAAATATTTCCCGGGGCGACAATCGGCTGCGTGCGCAGCTAGTCAGCGACTAGCAGCGTGAAGTCACTAGCAGCGAGTAGCAGCGACTAGCGGTCGGCGGCGCTCGCGCCGGGTCCACGGCGATTCCCGGTCCCCCTCTCCTGTCTCTCTCTCGCGCCTTGTTCCTCGCGGTGTCCTTCCTTGTCCCTCCTCCCTCCCGCAAGAGTCCCCTCTGGCCCCGATTCGCATTCGCCCGTACATTATATGAGTCGCTCAGTCGGTACAGAGACGTCGCGGGCGACACGTGCTCTCTGTCTCTCGCGGCCGCGCGCCGGCCGTCCCTCGCTCCCTCTCTCTCGCGCGCCCTCTCGCCGCCTCGTGCCCTCGCATTCGCACTCGCGCTCGCACTCGCCCCGCACTCGGGCCCCCGAGAGGTCCTCGGGTCCGCGGATCCTGGATCGATCGCGGGTCGATCCGGATGATCGAGCCGATATCGTGGCGGTGTCGAACGATCGCTGGGATCCAGGACTAACAGGATTAAGGTGAACGGAGGCGCGGATAGAAGCAAAGTGCCGGGTTGATGATCTGCCGGTCCTGACGCGCTCTCCGGCTCGCCGGCCAATCGTGACGCCGGCTTTCCCCTGGAGCCCACTCCTCCGGTAATGTCGCTCTCCGATTCTGCACCTTCTCTTTTGGAAGTAATCAGAACTATTGTCTACTCTCTTTTTTTGTTTTTTTTTCCTTGTTTTATTTTATTTCCGAAGAGAACAGTCTACGTCGCAGGAATGACAGTTATGTAAGCGGGGGGTCGTTTCGAGCACGATCATCCAGCATCCTGACGTCCTCTGGCCAACGAGGACACCGGTTTTTTTTTCGCTCGAATCTATTCCCCCGTTAACGTCGCTCTTTGTGACTCGGCACTATTCTTTTGGGAATGATCGTTATTGTCTTTTTTATCGAGACAATACCGCTGGGGATTTTTATCCGGAGAATGTTATGTCAGTATCGGGAAAGGTGATTTTATGGCAAAATGGCGAATCATAACGAGCTAATCGGGTGTCATGACGTGCTTCGATCCATCTATATCGATTAGACTCCGTCTTTCCGTCGGAACCTGTATCCTATGTGTCACTTTGATTTTTGTACTGTGTTCTGAAAAGTCACGTCCTTTTTTTTAGCTGTTCTCCTTTTCCTTTTCTTTGGCGTTACTTATTTTTATTATTTTTTTTATATGTCGTTTTCATCTTATCTTTTATAAGGTAACAGAAATGGTATATAAGGAGGAAGGTAATAGTAAAAATTGAGGAGAAAAGCTTCGTGATGAGGTGACGGAAAATTAGGAACAGATTCCTATGTGTTCCGAGGGCCAACCAATCAGAACGTCGGCTTTCCGTTGGATCTCATTTCTGCGTTAAGGTGAAGTGAAACACGTCGAGGAACTTGATCGACGTCGATAAAGAATATTGTTTTAAATGCCTACGTTGCAAATTCTATGCAAGTTCTATGCAAAAAATATATTCATCTACCGGCATAACGAATAACTCTCGGAAGGAGCTTTTTTCTCGGCCGCCATAGTGTTCATCTCCCTTAAATGGATTATCCTAAGTGGGGTGATGAACTTCCTCCCTCCATTTTTATACATTTTTTTTTTCCTTTCCTTTTGCGTTTCAAAAGTTTCTCTCGTAGGGAAAGCTTTTAGGTTCGTTGGCTCTGTGGACCGCCGGTTACTCCCACGCATCCTGGAGTTCTTTCATTCTCCAATTTAAATCCCGATCGCCCGTGAAATGGATTTCTCCTTACGGTCTCGCACAGCTGACAGCAGGTTGTCCCATCTCGTGACGGCGAGTCCCGTGGGCTCTCGTAGAACTCCTCTTTTTCACTCGGACTTCTCGAAATTACGTCCGCACTTTGCGACTATTCGCGTGACGGGCACTGGAGAGTCATAGGATGCGTTGCTAGCGTGGATGTCATCTTTTCGGCGGAAATTTGAACGGTACGCCCGGGATGGAAACCTGAATTTTTCCTCCCGGCTCCGTTGACTCGTGTTTTGACACGCTGAATGGAAAAACGAATTCAGCGGCGAGAGTTTTTCCTCTTTTCTCCTTTTCGAGGGCGGTATATCAAAGCGAGCATATTCCTCTGCGAACCGCACGTTTTTACTGACGATTGACCCAGAAGTAATTTTCTGACGCGACACAATGTTCATACTATTTTTCATCCCAACAACTGTAGCTTTACTTCGTTAAGGCATTATGAAAGGAAGAATGGAATAGTTGGGAAAGGACCATTCTTCCTTCGAAGTGAAAATATTGGTCAAAATATTTATAAAGCTTTTCTCCAAAGTGGGCGCACCGAATCATACGAAATTTAGTTTTTTTTTTTCGAAAGAAACGTTTTTTTTGTTCTTGTCCGAGATGAGTGAAGATTTTTGTTTCGACAAATGAAAGTTCGCGAGTTTCAAGACCTTAAATAGGACTTCCATAATTACGTGTTAATGTTTCAAATTGTTTTCGGTGCACTCACTTTGAAGAAAAGTTTTATCAATATGTTGACTTTTCTTGTGTATATATATGTGACACTTTCATTACAACTTAAGGGTACGTGCATGAAAGTAAAGATTATATTCTTCCGCTATTTATTCACGATTCTATGTCAGCTCTGCACAACTTTCCACTCTTGTGAAGAAAATTCTCGTTTTATCTGTTATAATCAATTTTCGTATTAGAATATTTTCATTAGAGTACGCCTCGTTCTTGTTATTCCGGTCATGAAGGCTTTACATACATACTGGCGCGATCGTTTTACAAATGAATAATTTTTACCGGCTACTGACATTGCCCAGAAACTAATAAGTCGTCAATACCTATCGAAACTAATAAATCATCGTGAGGTGCCCTAACGTTGTTCCAATTTTTCTGCCAGGATTGTTAGCTCGCTCTCTTAAGGTGAAGTGAAACACGTCGAGGAACTTGATCGACGTCGATAAAGAAGATTTTTCTAAATTCCTACGTTGCTGACGTTCGTTTTTCTATTGACAGCTGGGTCGAATTATATTGGGTATTGTACCAAATGGCATACTCCACTGTCGTTTTCGTACGATAATTATAAAGAAATCGAAGTAAAACTGCAGAAATCCTCTGGATTCATGCTTTCTGGGGCCATAATTAACTGCAGAGGGACCCCCTGTGCCATCTGTGATTTCCAGGTGAATTAAATTTTCATTCCCAGACCTCGTATTACCATCGTTTTGGCATAGAAGCGCATTCAACACTTTTTTTGCCTTTATCCCGTTCAAATGCGAGTTTATCGACTACCAGAGTGTTCTAAATTGTCGTAAAATTGTCCTGACCCTTTCGATTCTCATATCAGAGTCCTCGATAATTGTATATTGATCGAAATATGAGAGCTCGACGCCATTTTGATTCTGGTCTGGGCTGAGTGAAAAAATGTTTTTAACAAATCCAAATTTTGAATGTGTCAGGATAATTCTTAGATGATCAAGAGTGATGTGTCAAAGTTTCGGACAGTTTGGTCTAATACCCTTAAAAAAAAGTGTTGTATTCAAATCGACTGATTTGAAGGGGGTTTCACTTCACCTTAAAGGGCGCGCCGGGGATTTTCTATCGGCTACTGGCGAGCCTTTGCCGGTGGTATAATTTTCATCTCCTGGAAGAGGTAAAGGCTGCGATCGGCGGGCTTTTCTGCGAATCGGGAGATTCGCTGGGAAGCGATATATACGCGGGGATCGAGAACGGGGAAGTCGACCGATCGATCTCGGACTCGGGGCACGGAGCTCGTCTTCTCGTACTCCGTGCACGGCCTGCAAGAAAACGGAAAAACGGAAAACAGAAAGGCGAAGACGCCAGGGCCGTGTTAAGGGGATGTGAAAGTGGCATCTGAGGGGTCAATCGTTCGTAAACCTTTTCCCCAAACTGAAGGTCTATGAAGAATAATTTCGAGCAATCGTTAAGGGGATGTGAAAGTGGCATCCGACAGTCGTACATGAAACTTTACTACACGAAGAGAAAGAAGTTGTTATAATTACTACAATTGGGATAGATATAACAGCAATCGCTGGTATATATAAGGACAGCAGTTCTACAAAGTAACGATTACTCTGCTAAAAATGTCAAATGTACAATTCCATTGTAGTACACATTATTACAGAGTAATTACAGTTACAACCATACGACAGTCATATCAGAGCTTTCGATAATTGTATATTGATCGAAATATGAGAGCTCGACGCCATTTTGGTTCTGGTCTGAGCTGAGTTAAAAAATGTTTTTAAAAAATCCAAATTTTGAATGTGTCAGGACAATTCTTAGATGATCACGAGTGATGTGTCAAAGTTTCGGACAGTTTGGTCTAATATCCTTAAAAAAAGTGTTGTATTCGAATCGATTGATTTGAAGGGAGTTTCACTTCACCTTAAACGCACAATAGGAACAATAACAGTTCATGCTTGTAAAAATGACTAGTGCTGCGGTATATTGTACGGTTTTCAATAGAGTTCTTGTTTTTCAATTTTACACCTGTGATGGTCATTTTTACCCGTGCCTTTATACGTCTAATTTTTACTTTCCAATGGTATATATGTAACACTGTCGGATGCAAATATAACTACAATTTATTTACAAGAATTCTGCAGTCGGTGCTACAGCCGCAATGGTTAAAAGGACAAAAAATTGAAATTACATCTACAATAATTGTTGTTAAGGTTACAACGATACTTTGACCCGCGAGCATATGTAATGATTACAATATTATCTCTGCGTGTAGGTGTACCGAATCGTTTCATACCTTATAACGTGAACTGTAAGGAAGGTCCTGACGCTCGTGAAATTTCATTTTCTTTATAAAGAATTTTTATATCAATATAGAAATTGTATAAAAATTGAAACTTTATGGGTATCATGGATTTCCTTATAGCCTCCATATTCACGTCGTCGAGTTTGAAACGATTCGATACACTCAGCTCGAAGAAAAGCTTCGTAAACGAGACCTCTTTGACGCCACTTTCACATCAGCTTAAGAATAAAAATTATGATTAATTATTATGCGCATCCTGAGGTGTGCTTTTATGTTCAGTATACACGTGCGTCGATACCATAGCGATCGGTGAATATTTTGTATTTATTACAGTAAGTCTAAAGAGGGACACCGAGAATTACGTGAATTTCAGCCAAAGAGTAACTTACGAAAATGTGCGAGACACTTTTACGCTTTTATGTTCAGTATACACGTGCGTCTATACCATAGCGATCGGTGAATATTTTTTATTTATTACAGTAAGTCTAAAGAGGGACACCGAGAATGACGTGAATTTCATCCAAAGAGTAACTTACGAAAATGTGCGAGACACTTTTACGTACACATGCTATCATACAGCCAATTTTGAGTGTCTCGGTTGTTTCCGAATAAACGAAACATGAATGGAACGGTCTTTATAGGTGGCTCGAAAAATCGGGGAAAAAAAAAGGATGAGCAATCGGTCAATTCGCGGATACCGTGGCAGAGGTGGACAATTATGGAAGTGCATCCGAGGCGCGATGACCCGGGCTCGGCCGTTTGCGAATTTTCCGTGCACGGGGAGAAGCACGCATCGGTACGCACGTCGATAAGCCGATAGGGGGACGGGAATCGATTGGCCGTGGCA